TCAATTTCAGACAAAAGCTTTATTTATTTCTAATGGTTCTGTCTGCAGCCTACCCTTCAGATAATTTTGTTATGGGATACTAGAGAAATCAGCTCTCTGGGTTAATAGTGGAAGATGAATTAAAGGAATTACAAGTAAAGTAGCTAACACAGCAAAAGGTAAATCCAACCTTTAAAATCTATCCCATCTGAGTAATCCAGACTGGGGTATTTTTAACTTGATCATCTGAGTTGGTATGTTGTCTAGAATGGCATAGCACAAACACTAAGGTTACACATGCTTCATATTCTTTTCTGTTTGTGGTACAAGTTGGTTTCATGACCAGGGAAATCCCCCATTTCCATGATAAACAACCTTCTAACTTGGATTCAGGTGTTACCCCTTAAATTTTCAGCTCCAAGGTGACATCAATATAAGGCTTTGGCCTTTTTCAGAAGAAACTGCAGCTTAGGAAGCATGGCTCTCACAAGACAGCCAAGCAACTCAAACTGCAACTTCAAGATGAATCTTCATTTAAAACAAAAGTATAAAAGCTTCACGTAATCTACACACTGGTATCTTTAGCTAAAAATAAAGAAAGCAATCCAACTGGCAGCCACTTTCCCACTCTACCACCTTCTGACATCAGTTACCACTTCTGGTAAGCTTCAAAGAGAAAAAACATCCATCAAGTGACCAGCTCTGAAGCTCTATGTCAGAATTGTGAAGGTTATAATTTAAGGGGAACTCCACCCGCTCTGCTGAACCCAGCAATCTAAAAGTTCAGGAGGTTAAGAACCGTTTCCCACCAGAATCAGAAAGAGACAGAGACATATAGCTGGAGGTTATATAATAACTGAAAACTGACGACAGCCTGGCAACACTGGCAGCATGGAAGTCAGACGTTCAGTCAGGCTCTCAACCACATTCCATTAAGTTTTAACATTAGAGATGAAGCCAGCTAGAAAATTCTATAGCTGCAGGTCTGAATGCAACTATACGAGGTACCACCAATGGTGGAATTGTCAATGGGTGGTATAAATGTCTGTAGTTTGGCTACTCCCAAGTTTCCCCATATTAAAAGTGTTGCTACCAACACCAATATAATGTGCACAGATCTGAGTTTTCTGCTGTTCACAGGAAAATGCAGATTTTTCTCTTCTGAAAGAGAAAAGACACAGATTTTCTCCTTTAAAGGAGAAAAACCTAGGAAACAGCAGGTTTCTCTTTGCAGGCCAACAGAATTCCAGCTGACAAAGAGCTGCTTGGGGCTGGGGGGAATGAGCCGCAGGGAGCCCAGTGAGCACGTGCACACATGGCAGCCAGGCAGGGCATTAGAAAGCAGCTTTCACAGCTCTCTCCAGTTTAGTCTATGGGGGCAGGAACCCGGGGTGGGGGTGGAGAACGGGACGACACACCACAACGCGTGGGAAGGCTGTGGGGGCACAGGTGATGTGTCAGGGGGGTGGAGAGAGGGCATGTGCCCCTCCAAATTTCTGTGCCCAGGCTGCAGCTGGACCAGAACAGCTTCAGGAAGGAGTTGCCTCCATGGCCCATCAGGTGGGACCTGATACAGGAGGAAGTGACTTGCCACCATGGCCACCAAGATGAGACATCTCCTGCTTGGCCAGCATCAGCAGCAAGGGGCACAATTCCATGGTGCGGCCACCGTGCCTCACCTTGGTGGCTATGGGGGTGCAGCACTGCCACCTGCACTGGGTCCCACCCGCTGGGCCATGGAGGCAGCTCCTGCCCAGAGCTGGTCCAACCAGACTGCAGCCCCATGCCCCCTGCATCTCGTAGGTGCAGAAACCTCGGGGTGGGGTGGGGAGGGGAAGACATGTCCCTCCCTCCCCAACAGGTTGCTGGTGTCCCCCCACATTGCTTGCGCTCACATACCCTGTTCTCCACACACCCACCCCAGTTCTTCATGAACTGGAGGGCTAGAGCCTGGTGGAAGGCAGTAGGCTGGGAGTGAGGGGCACCAGCAGGGCTGGGGGTCAGGGATGCCACCAGGGCCAGGAGGCTGTGGGCTGGGAATGAGAGGCACGAGAAGGGCTGATTGGGGCTGTGGCTTGGGAGTGACGGGCAATGGCAGGGCACCAGAATATCAGGGCTGTTCAGTGCCAAAGTGGCGGGACACACACACACACACACACACACCCCCCCCGCAGCTGGACCCACAGCCCAGTGAGTGAAGGGAGCAGGGGGGCTCTGATTTTCTATGATTTAAAACCAAAAAAACCCACCAAGCACCAAAATATATAGGCATTTAGAATTTATTTTATTATGATTAAGGCACTGGTAGGCTTCCAAACTGCTTTAAAACTGTAAATATATAGAATCATAGAAAGAAGGACCGGAAGTGACCTGCAAGATCATCAAGTCCAGTCCCCTGCCATGGGCAGGGGGTAACGGGCTCAAACGAGCTCAGCGAGGCATTTGTCCAGCCTCCTCTTGAACACCACCAGAGATGGTGACTGCACCACCTCTTTTGGAATGTGTTCCAGATTTTGGTTACCCGTACGTCTAGCCTAAACTTTTCCCCAGGTAGCTTGTGCCCGTTGGTCCTCTTCCTCCCAGGTGGTGCTTTTCTGAAAAGTTGCTCCCTGATCCTGGTGTTCTCCCTTGACATATTTGTAGGCAGCAATCAAGTCACCCTTCAGCCTTCTTTTACTCAGACTGAACTAACTCAGGTCCCAAAGTCTCTCCTTACAAGGCCTATCCCCCAGGCCCTTGATCATGCTTGGAAGGGTGCAGAGAAGGGCCACCTGCTTGTCCACATCCTTCTTGAAGTGCGGTGCCTAGAACTGGACACAGTACTCCAACTGTGGCCTCACTAATGCCAAATAGAGGGGTAGGAGCACCTCTCTGGATCTATTGGCAATACATCTGCTCAGTTTCAGCTTGATCAACTCCAACATGCACTATTTGCTAAGTTCCAAAAGGGTAAAATAAAATGTTAGCTTGCCTCACATCATTAACACATCTGCCCCTAGATATAGGTATTTATTCCTCTCCTTCAAAATTAACACAGTTAGAAATAAATGTCAGAAGTTAAGCGAATTTTCCTTAGGCTAGGATCTACTATTATTAAGATGCTATTCTAGGGAGAACATATTCCCCCCACCAGGGTCTTGTCATGGTGAAGTTAAGGTTAAGGAAACACCTCGCCAGCTTAAAGCATATCACCAAGGAGGTGATCCTCCCCCTCTATGCGGCACTGGTCAGGCCGCAGCTGGAGTACTGTGTCCAGTTCTGGGAGTCGCACTTTAAGAGGGATGTGGACAGCATCGAGAGGGTCCAGAGGAGGGCCACTCGCATGATCAAGGGACAGCAGGGAAGGTCATATGAGGAAAGGTTACGGGACCTGAACCTGTTCAGCCTCCAGAAGAGAAGGCTGAGGGGGGATCTTGTGGCCTGCTATAAACTAGACAGGGGGGATCAACAGGCACTGGGGGAGTCCCTGTTCCCCCGGGCGCCGCCAGGAGTGACCAGGAATAACGGTCACAAGCTGGCAGAGGGAAGGTTTAACATCAGGAGGCGCTACTTCACGGTCAGGGCGGCTAGGGTCTGGAACCAGCTTCCAAGTGAGGTGGTGCAGGCTCCCACCCTGCAGGTTTTTAAGAGGAGGTTAGATGACCATCTTGCTGGGGTCGTTTGACCCCCAGTACTCTTTCCTGTCATGGCAGGGGGTCGGACTAGATGATCTGCCCAGGTCCCTTCCGACCCTAGAAACTATGAAACTATATATTACTTTCAAGTGTCTAACTTGAAAAAATCCTGAATATTAGGAAGCAAGGAAATGGAGAATGAAAGTTTTTCTACTCACACTTTCTCTCTGTTTTTCTCTAAACTTCTTTTTGAAATGCCAAAAAAGACTTTCACACCATTAAGTGCTCAGACTCTACAATGGACCTCTACTCCAAAAAAAATACCCCCAAGCAGCATATTCTTACACCTCAGATCAGTTCCCACGCAAATATTTTATTGCATGCTATCTGAGAACCTGATTTCCAAGACTGAAGGACCATTCCTACTCCAGGGCATGCTGGGACTTAGTATTGCTCATCACTAAAAAAAAAAAATCTGGCCTGACAACCAAGACAGACGTTCAATAAAATGAATTTGATTCTATTCTGCCTTCCACTTCAAGAGAATCATTAACTAAGCTTTGAGCACAGATTCTTTAAAGAGAGTGATCCAAAAGATAAAATTTAGCCTGGAATCAGAAGAACAAACTGAATTGACTTTTCAGGGTTAGCAACTGTAAAAAAATAAAAATAAAAATAAAAACAAAACATTTTTTTTTAAAATCACCCCAGGGTAGAATTAAACTGGTGTCACTGAGAAACAATAAACTGGGAACCCCACAGAACTTCTTATCAGAGTAAAACCATATAAAGTATTTGAAAACAGAATGCTTTTGTATATACAACTGACTCCTCCACTTTCTTCAATAGCTTTGCCTCTCCAAAGCTTGTACTAATGCATCAGATTGGTCAAGCATATTCCTGGTTTAAAAAAAAAATTTCAGCCAAAATACTAAGAATTAGTTAGATGTTATAAGCATTAATAAAAAAAGAAACACCACCGCATTTATAGCATTAATCTTTCTGAAACAGTGGAATTAACAAGTGTAAGCAAGGCCAAGTGCAGATATAGTAACACTTGTTTGTAACCACTAGATGTTTGTCAAGATGCAGTGGATAAAAGTTCTTGTTTCAGCAAATTTTCACTGGCAAAGGTTGTTAATCAAATGAAACTACTGCATATTTCCCATATATTTATCTTATCACTCAAATGATATAAAATAACTAAATCATTAATTACATCCAGGGTGTTCACAAGACTTGGTCCATTCTACCTCACTGCATTTCAGGTGAATAAGAGTTCTAGTATATTATGATCCTTTAAGATAAAAAGTGTTAAATAAAATTACACAAAAGGCAAAGACTACCACATTGAGATTTTTTTTTTGAAAGTTCCACTGCCATCACCTTCGTTCATTTAAAGCTTACCTCTAATTCCTTAATTTTCTCTTCTGCTGTTCTCTGTTTTTCTAAGAGCTGACTGTGAATCATTCCCTTCGATTGAAGGATAAACCTAGAGTAAAAAAGAAAGTCAAACGTTTACCATGGTCTCCAAGATTTAACTCTCACCCACTTAAATAAAAGGCGAGTTTTTCCCCCTAGTCAGCATGGGGGGAAAAGCCTCTCAAGCTTACGTTCACATATGAGGAAACCTCTCTATGTACATTGTCTGTCTTTGAACTGCTGCTAAAAACGTGCTCAGCAATGGAAAACAACTATGAAGCTGATTAAATGCAGCCAACACTAAATGTAATTATAAAGTGCATGGCTCATCTCAGGCAAATTTTAAAAAAGCAAAAAACAGGCCATTGCAGTTGCTCCCCCTGAAGGGAACGAACACAGGGTCTAGAAGTACTGCAATACCAGGCTGGTAGTCAGAAAGGCCAGAGAATGCTCCAACACCCTCCCCCTGGTGCCAAAATCCTGCTGGGAACTGTGCGCGTGTACATCAAAAAAACCCCAACTAACCACCAAAAAAAACAAAAGGTGAGTGTTCCCTCCACAGGGAACTGGCACCGGGAGATATTACAATACCAGGTCAGCACCAGGAGGGCCAGAGCCAGCCCTGACACCCTCCCACAACACCACAATATCGCATTCAAGTAGGGAGATGTTTTGTAGGCGCGCACACAGTTACAAGAAAGATGTTGGATACAGTTATGGGGGTAGGGAAGAGTCCACGATTTAGAAAGTCCTTGGAATCCTTTAGGTGCAATAGTAGGATTCGATCAGGCAGTCCCCTCTTAGTTGCTTCCAGTTGTGCGGGTCCAAGTACTGGCACTGTCCCATGATGTGCTCTATGTAGATGTCCCCGGACCAGCGGACAGTGTTGAACATCATGAGATGCCACATCAGCTTGCTGTAGCAGTGGGATATGCAGCAGGCATGCAGAACGCTCTCATTGCTGGGGTCCCATCCTCCAAGTGCCCTGACAACCAGCGCCTCACCCATCACATCATAGCCCCAAATCCACAGGACGTCTGCCAGCGACTGGTACTTCTCATTCTTCCTTTCACAGGCTTTGACAAAGGCTTGGTGCTGGGTCTCAAAGAGGATGGTGACATCTACCGTCACAACATTTGCTGTCCTCATTGGTCACAGGGTTTTATATTCAAATTACTACAGCTCTGTTTATTTCAGTCTTATGGAGGAGCTGCAGGGGACAGAGGGGCCTCCTCCCCAAATTTATTTTCCATGCTGTAGCAGTGGGAAGGGGACAAATTCAAGACAAGCCTCCAGTTCTATACCTGGAAAATTATATCAAATTTATATATTTTTTTCATATATAGAACCTAATTATTGGGGGGGGTCATCTTATAATCAGGGTAGTCATATTCAAATAAATACAGTACATTCATGTTCAGAAGTTATTCACTCTCATCCTCCATGTTCTGAAATGAGAAATATTTGAGACATCTGCTTTCAGTATAACAAAAAGCTATTCCAGCTACTCAGTCAACAGGCTAAGAAAACCCAGCTAGGTAACAGAGGTCATCATCTACTTAAGATTGCATGGACTGTACTCAATGCCAGATGAAAAACACTCTACTTAAAATTAAAGTTAGCTCCAATCCTTTTCACCCCTCCTTGCAACACAGTTGGCAACCTCCCACTTTTCTGGATGGTTTTAATTTTGAAAGGTCACAATTTTGCAGCTGAACTTTAGACATACATTGTATAACTGTTCAGACATGCCAAAAGTGTAGGGGTGCACCAATACATCAGTCCGATATTGGATCAGTACTGATATAAAGAAAATGATCTATATCAGATATCAGCCTTAAGTGGCCAATATTCGGGCCAATAAATACCTGTGCTGTGCGCAACCACAGTGCAGCATGTAGGCAGTGAAGACACAGCCCACAGCGTGGTGAGCTGCCTCCAGCTGGTAAGTCTTGGGGGGGTGGCAGATCAATGCCCTGCCATGACAGAAGGAAGGAGGCGGGGCAAGTGCTGCCCAGTTGGGGTGGGCAGAAAGGGAACAAAGCCTCAGCTCACCTGGGTGTGCGGGATGGAGCAGGGCTTGTCCAGGGGGGGCATGGGAGAGGGGGAGGCGAAGGCGACTCCCACTGCTGTGCGCAACTCATCTGCCAGCTCCTGCCACTGCTGCTGTCACTCGTCCAGGAGGGCACCAGGGGGCCTGCACTCAGACCTGCACGGAGCGGGCTGGGGCTGTTCCCAGCAGAGCCTGGGCAGGCAGGGCGTGGGGCGATGCCACTGGGAATGGGGAGCTATGAGGGGGGCTACAGTGAATTTCAAGGTAGCTGCAGCCCCCCCTGTAGCTCCCTCCCAGTGGCACCACCCCCCAACCCAGCCAGCCAAGGCTCCACAGGGAACAGGCCCCGGATCTGCACAGCGCGGACTGGAGGCAGGGCAGTTCCCAGCAAAGCCTGGGCTGGGCAGGGGTTGGCATCACTGGGAAGGGGCTATGGTGGGAGCTGCAGTCACCCCAAAATTTGCCATGACCCCCTCATAGCCCCCAGCAGTACCACCACCCACCCCACGCCCCACCCAGGCAGCCCCGGCTCTGTGAG